CTCTTCGGAACACTCCCCGTGGTAAATGTAAATGTCCAAGCACACCGAATATGTGCAATATGAACTCCAGAAATTATAAATGCGATGAAATTAGAAATTGAAATTATAAATATCCATTCTGTTCAGAATAAAAAAAAATCTTTAGTATTATTTTCAGAATAATAAGGGGTCACGATTCAGTATGTAGCCCTAAGTTAGATTAATGATGCGAAGAAATGAAATGACAAATGAAAGTCGACCGACCATAGATATATTTAATAGCTAACGCTGACCTTAAGTAAGAAAAGATAAGTAAAATTGATCTTTTGTAAACAATTTACATAAAAAAAACTCCTAACATGAAATTTAGGTTATCCTCGACATAATCATGCAAGGAATATAAAAACATTAGAATAAAAATGTATACAAATAAATATTATATGATATTAAGTGATTTATATAGATTAAGAACTTCAATAAACATAATACAAATGATAGTGATGAAAGTCTATATTAAACTATTATAATAAAGCGTAAACACACACTTCTTTGTTGCCAAAGATCTTAGCAATTACAGCATATTTTAGAATAATTATTTTTTAATAGAAAGCCCTACACTTACGTCAGGCTTTAGGCTATATATTTTCACGCCATTAAACATAGGGGGTAAATATTTTAATAAAAACCCTAATATGGGAAAGAGACCATACGATACGAGCTGCCAACATCAAGAAGCAAGATTGCCATGGATTGTCATCATGTCATGTCATTTTGAAGTTTGCAATTCATAAATTGACAAATGTTAACAATACAATGAAGTTTTTATAATTACCTACGGATGAAACCGCATGGGAACAGCTAGTATTTTATATAAAGAGCTCTTGCCTCGATTTGATAACAAAAATATTACACGAAAAATATAGAAAAGCGATGTCGTGACGTTTATACAAGCTAACCATATTAACGTAATCGTGTAAAACTTGTATATTTCCTTGTTGTTATTTTGAGTTTGTGCAACTAAGTTATCTCTCATCTAAGTTATAGACGAAATAACTTGGTAACGAATTAACAAGTACTGGTTATTTACGTTATTGTTCTAAACTCGCCAGTCTCCGCTCCGTTGACTTCACGCCACGTTTTAATCAATTGAATCAAAGTTAATATAATAATTTTAGTGTAACTGTTTACAGTTCAATATTGTTTTCGTATTTGGTTGTTTTCTTTAAATTAAATCATTTGATTTGCTAAATAAAGTGATTAAGCATATTAATTGCTAAACCAATATTCAAGTGAGAGTCAAAATGGCGGGTGTACTATAGCGAATTAAATTATACCACTAACTAAAAAAATGTACCTGAAATGTACTATTTAGTACCTCGCTTAAAAAAAATAGTACCTTCTGTAGAACGAAATTATAATGAAATAAAGTTAATTGACATCAATATGGAGGGAGAATTATATAACTTAATATAGAATGTACTATTTTTTTGAGCGAGGTACTAAATAGTACATTTTAGGTACAATTTTTTAGTAAGTGGTATAATTTAATTCGCTATGGTACACCCGCCATTTTGACTGTCAAATATTGAATAGGCTAAAATATGGCAATGACGTCAAATGATTTGTCAAGTACATCAATTTGCCCTTGAATTTTTAAAACTCAGTAAATATCTTTATTGGATTTATAAAATTTCGTTCTATTAAATTAAAATTTCCGGCGTGCGTTTAAGGATATCATTTATCGAAAATTCTCAGTTTGATCTCATTTTCTTATCAATTTAATAGACATAACGAGTTCGATAACAGTAACTAGCCCAAAGTACCAACATCCATCATTGATAAGAAGTTTTAGACGCATCCTGCCTATGTACAACTAAGATGGAATTCGTTATCATTAATTATACAAGACTGAATGGAATAACAATAAACTTGTGTCTCATTAGACTTTGGAATTTCGTTTCAAGTTACGTTACTAGTCACGTACAATGAGCGACATAGCTTAACCATGGTAAAGACGTAAACTTTTTGGTTCACTGTACAAAAGTAATTTCAGATTGAATTTTTAAGTTATTGTAAATACTAGTAATACTTTTTGTTATAGTAAACTTTATGTACTGCTTCGTTTCCCTTGATGTACTGTAGTACACTCACGAAAAGAATTCCGCTTTTCTCATGAGTGTGAGCCGTAGGCCTAATTTTAGTCCTCGTTTACTTACCATTTTCTTATACGGAAAGGATGAGAAGGGAAACTGGATTTGACGATCAAGATAACGCATATGAGAAGGGAAATATCCTAATTTGATCGTCCCCTCCTTTGTCGATTAAAAGTAGGCATCTGATGGCATATTACTACGCGCAGCGTTCCTTTCGGTATATCAGCGAATTTAGGTGGCAGCTAACTTGTTGACCACGTTACGGTATAAAAAAATCTAGGTAAATTCAAAAAGTGACATTTTCAAATCAGACATATCAATATGTGTATTTTTGGAAAGTGTCAAATGATTTATACTTCCTAAAACAGTAAGTCAATGGCCAGTACAAACTTAAATTGTATTTTATATTGTTAAAGATTAACAAGCGCATGGCTTGGTAACATAATACTTCCTCGGTAAGGTAATACGATTTTACGTCACATGCAAGTTAAGCTATAACTTGATACATTTACTTTGTTTTTACTTTTAGCTTTTTAACTATTTTGATGTATCCTGTATTCTTGAAGGATATTTAGTCTGTGCTATAAATCAGTACCGTTTACCTTTAATGAAAATAACAATATAAACTTTGGTAATTGTGATCCAATACATTATTTAAATATTTATTTCATGGTTTTAAAATGTAGGAATTCCACTTGTTATGTTAATAATCGGACAGTAGTCGGATGTCAGAAATAAGTGTGTTGCATAGCTCGACTACACAACGGTCACATTGGTAGTGACTATCAGGGGAGTGTGAATACATGGAAAACAGCGTGAAAACACAAGAACTAAAAAAGACTATAATTTGGTTAAGCATAATATGGCTGTGGCTCGTATACTAATTTCAATTCTTTTATATTCCGAACAATCTCTTTTAATCATGTATGCAAACTGCGACTTTCAATGAAAGTTATAGAAACTACGTTAATAACAATCGAATGAAGAAATAAATAGCTTTAGTTAGACAAAAAATTAAACTAAGAAGATAGGAAATATTTTTCAAAATGATTTCCATGAAAACATCATAGAAAACATTTATCTTAAAACATCAAGATATTACAGAAGTTAATTCAGAAGAAATCATAATTATTAAGGAACTAGCTTTTGCCTGCGACTTTGTCCGCGTTGAATTAAATAAAAACAAAGTAAATAGCCTATGCGTTCTTCCAGATTATCCTCTATATGTAAAACAAATTTCATTGAAATCGGTTCAGCCGTTTAGGCTACAAAATCTAACAAAACATTCATCCATCCATCTATCGATATAAAATTTCGCATTTATAATATTTGTATGATAGCGTAATTATTAATTATAATGAAGTAATATTAATAATGATCTGTGCTCTTTACGTAACTAAATGTTATTCTATAAAATATATCTTCTAGTTAATATTATGTTCAATTAAACACAAACGTTTTATTACATTCGTATCAAAACATATTGATCCATTCATAAGCTATGACTCAGTTTGACTTGACTAACGTTTATATTGATAGTAGAATAGTGAAAATATTATGTTGACTACAAAGGTTCTTTAGTATGTAATTCTATAACTATTGTGGTCAACATGTAATACACACTTTAAAAAACATCTTTTTAATAAACTTGTGGCCAATAATTTAAATGTTGCTTTAATTATGTAGTTAATGTGTTTCTACGTTTTAATTAATTTTAAACACTAGCTGTTACTCGTGACTTCGTCCGCACACGTCACACACATCCTTCGTCCGCATACTGTCGACATAATGGAATTAAAAAATAATATAAAATGTTAGCTATGTTACTCACATATAAATTACCTTTCTAACGGTAAAATAATTTTTAAAATCCGATCCTGTAGTTGTTAAGTAATTTAAATACATACAAAAATACAAATCTTTCCTTCAGTAAAATATTTTATTGTCAGTTAATAATGATGTCTTACGTGTTATTTCTTACAAATACCATGTAAAATACATCTAATTATATTACTAACTTCGTGCTATAAACCAGGCCTTGATATTGCGCAGTTTTATCGTTAACTTAGTGTATAAATCGGAAAGAGAAAAACAAGATGTGGGTTTGTACATTCATTTAAATTAATTATGGGTAATTTCCTAAGACTGGATACCTATTAACAACTACCTTTTGTCTAATAATAAACAGTTCACTTTACATACAAAACTCTCTGAAGTTGAGTACTTTACAATCATCGTTATTCACAACTAGATTTAGGGCCTGTCCCACCACTAGCTGATAAAGGCTCAGATAGCTTAAAATGACGTCACTGTCAGGTAACAAAATCCGATATTTCCATCACATATTTTACACGTTGGATTGTTATCAGACAATTTACAATTTGGTGGGACAGAACATACAAAATAATAAGTATGACAACTTACAAATACCCTACATTTATTACTAGAAATGTAGACTGAAAACAGTTAACTTAAAGACGTGCTCGAGTACATCTTAATTTAAAACTGCCAGTTCATAAGTTTTTTTTTTTATGTTTGTAAAGATTTAGAACGATAAGTATCCAAGAGAATTGTAATCCTTCCGAAAAAAAAAAAACTGTTTACACTATTTTTTTTTTAATTAATCACATATTTTATTAAATTATTCCAATGTTAGATCTTAATGCTCTTGCGAATTTAAAGGATTAAGAATTCCAGTTCTTTGATCCGGATATAGATAAGTTATCTATAAATAACTTTATTATCTATCCAATGACATAAAGACTTGCACTCGTAGATAACAGGTTTAGATAAAACTAAACGAATCATCAATAAACTAAGTTAAAGCAAAAAACGTGGCTACAAATGAATAAAGAACCAAACACTCACTCAGTTAAACAAAACGCCGGTTAACTTGAAAATCCACTTGTGACGTGACTTCTTCTGCCAACAACACAGAAAACAAAACTCAAAAACTCCAAAAATCACGGTACGTCAACACAAAACTTTGTCATTATTGCACACACTGCACCCGACACTCGAAAAAAGTTTTAAAAACCTCCTCGGTTATCGTAAAGGCGGCAAAAAATCCGACAAACTGGCACACACGTGCGTCTACGATAGCGACCGACAACGGACTGAACCGGGCTGACACACAGACGGATCGGACAGCGTTTAGCGAATCGAGATACGCAATCCAAGCGGCCAAGACGTTCCGGATTCGTGCATTCGCTTTCAGTTCTCCAAACGATAGCGTGACGCACGACGCTGACCAATGATTTCTTATAGAAAACAATGATTGCGTTAATTTTACAAAAGTAACATCGTACAACTCCTAAGAGCGAGCCATAACGTGAACGATTTTATAGTTTATAGTAGCAATAAAATTGACTATCTAACATTTTTACTTCAAAAGGAGACCAATAAATATTTTTGATGGAATTGCCAGCATCCGACATTTATTGCGACCTACATCACGTTCCGTTTAATGTGATAACTTTTTGTTTTTATCATAATAGTCACAAATAAAGGTCCTCCTATAAAATACTTTGTTTTAAATGCTTCCTGTGACTTGTTTTATAAAACAGTATAATTAATTTCGTTAAACCATTCGATGTTCACGTGGGCACGGGGCGGGGAATTTAATCAGGAGTCCTAGAGATTCTACGTGGGCCGATCTCTTAATGTGTACTGGTATTACGGTATTAGAATTCCATGAGTTGACACCATTACCGAGAGGAAATAAAGTAAAGAAAATATTGTTCAGATATCCTAAGAAGCTACAAATGAATTTTAAATATACCTTCTGAAACCAAATGAAAAATAGTTTCATATCGTTAGAGATATAATAGGATTAGCTCCTTTTTATCGGATAAATCGATTTATCAATGTAAAACGACACGAAGGAATAGTTAGGTAGACAATCAACATGATAAATAATTAAATAATGCAACATTTGAAGACTAAATTTACTTGACATATAAAAATAAGCAAGCTTAACTTCGGAACCGCAACAGACATTTATATCAAACTGCCATCTCAAAGATCCAGTCACGGCAGCCACATTTAAGAAGACGTTGACTTACAACTTTACTTTGTAAAACATAATAAAATGTCACGCTTTGCAACTTTGGTTGTAAGAAAACGCAAACAAGTCGAAATCGAAAAAAAATGCCATTCGGTTTAGAATTTGCTGAACATCTAACTTGCTTACTAGTCAAATTATTTGACTCGCGACTCCATCGGCGTTTAATTAAAAAAATAGTACATAACCTATGTGTTCTTCCAGACTATCCTCTACATCTATGCCAAATTTCATCGAGATAAGAATGAAATCCATCCAAACATTCTTATTTATAATATTAACTAAAATTATTTGATAGGTTAATAACTATGATCTGAGTTAACTAAACAATTTGACCAAAACTGAATAAATTGTAATAATAATTATATTTAACTATCGTTTGTAACTACTTACTTTTATTACTATGAGTGCTTGGAGTACGTAACACGAAGCGGTTACTAAGAGAGGAACCAAGAAAAGCTATTTGTTGAAACAATTGCAGAAGCAGTGACTATTTGGAATCACCGACGCGAATACAGTCGTAGCTAAAGTGCATTGAGTTCTTGCGAATATTGGGTAAAGGAATTCTATGGAAATGGTGACTCGCATGTTATTTTGATATTAGAAAAAAAATGAAATTAACCATCACAATGTTTTGACAGCCATTATCTCTGTAAGAAGTTACTTATTATTAATGTAAATAATACAGACACAGAATCTATTAAATAATAGTTATATTTTAAAGGAAGACGATTTCAAAAGTAGAACCTATAATAACTTACGAAAAACAAAAAATAACGAAAAACATAAGCATTAATTAATAATTGATATTCAAAAAAATATTTAATTTACTCCAAAGATTAATGCAATTCACTTTCAATAAACGATAATATTCCAGAAAATAAAAGGACAATAAAAGGATCAATTAAAACATTCCTATTAGTATTCTGCATTCCGCGAATTCTCGCAGTTCCTGTGCAGTCTTGTCCATTAATTGCGTCTCCGTATATATTTACCATTTATGATATTACTCCATGTATCTTACATAACTATATAGTCCAACACGATAGTATGTTGCCAACGAGTATAATAAATTACATAAAAATATTGATGTTACTTATTACGAAGTCTTTTGTTCTTCGGTCTACATTTCTTTAGGAAAAAGGGAAATTATGCAAATTCAAAATCATGACTATAAATGTATCAATCGATATTTTTAAAACTCAGTGACATCAATGCGAGCTACGAATTCGAAGTACAGTTTTTAAGAATCGTTTCAGAATTCGGCCTTTAGTTTCATTCGACATGGTAATTTACCAACATTGCCTTTGTATCTGCTATTGAGATGCAGATAGGTTAGCACGTAAAACAAATGCGAAACTTTTGAATGATCTCTGCCTCAACATTGCGTAGTAAAGTCTCTCAGCGTCGATGTACATAAGTGAAAACATCAGAATATGCTATCACGCCTCCGCCTACGTCTGAAGATCATGCACGTCAGTGCGTTCATCGAAGCGTGTTCCTTCTCTATACTACGAACAAAGATATACAATCAGAGTCGTAACATACCAAAACATATGGATCTCTCAAATATTTGATCCGACTGGGATTCGACAGTACCTCTGGTTAAACTGGGTCAGCCGGTCACTGTTTGTTATCAATACTCACGCAATGTGTTTTAAATAGATCTTAAAAAACCACTATATCTGTCAAGTATTACGACATTTCTAATTATTTGTTTTTGTATTTATGCAATTCCTCGAACATCAAATGTAAATTATGAATCATTTGTACGTCATCAAAATGTGGTGTGATCGCTTACGATTTTCATTTGTTATAATAAGTCGAATTTATTATGACGACAGTTAACCAATGACTAGTATTATGACTGCTAATATTCTCATAATTGTCTTATTAAAATACTAGCTTACACTCGCGCCTTCGTCCGCGTGGAATAAAAAAAACAAAAGTAAGTTGCCTATGTGTTCTTCCAGACTATCCTTTACGTCTATGCCAAATATCATCGAAATCCTTTCAGCCGTTTAGGCTACAAACTCTAACGAACATCCATCCATCCATTTAAACTTTCGCATTTATAACATGAAGTGATAATAGAATGTAACTTGACTTTCAATCTTTACTTGTCTGATATCTACATCCATCTAATCCTATGTCCATTTTTTCTTCGTATATTCGTCTTTTGCTGTATTATTGTCTTCATTTAAGATTTCAACATATTGTGGATTTCTAGTTGCAAAAACTTCTCTATAATTAAACCAACTTGTGTTTCTATTGCAATTTTGCTGTCGGTACCTTTTAGTAGTCCATAAGCACAGTCTTAAGCTACCATTTTTATTTTGTTTGTGGCTTTAATCAGAATTAGATTTTTATTCAATATTATTTCAGTTTACGTTACGGTTGGTTATCAAGAGTAATTTTACGCGCTATGAATTTTTACGATGCTGCAGTGAGCAGCCTAAGTTAACAAAAATGCTGTTAGGGTCGCCCATTAGCTTTCGTTGCTAAAGCCTCTTCGTCTTATTATTTCCCTTTTAAATAAACTAGCATATAAATATGCCTGCCAGATATTTCTTGAACAATGAGAGCCATATCTGAAGTTTTTAAAAAATATCCCCGTTGTTCTTTAATTTCGTAGCTCAGTCTATGATAGACATAAATAAGGAAGTCTAGATAACTTGATCGTAAATGAACGCTACTAAAAGTGTGTTAAAACATCGAGACTAGCTATCTAATTTCTAAATTACTTTCACTCTATTAATACAGAATACCAACTGATGGAAAGCAAAAAAAAAATCGCTAATAATTTACATTTTTTTGCCGATGTTAACCTTAAAATCTAACTTGTCATAAAGACGCTAATACTGCTCGAATTGTTACAACAAAACCAATAAAAATTTCAGTAATATACGTAATGTAATGTAAAGTAAAATAAATTAAATACTAGACCATCTAGTACGTTTCAAGTTTCTTTCTGTCATAAATTATTGCGGAGCTTTTGTAAAGCTCTATCTAACAAAAAGCAACCACTCGAAAAAAATCCCTAACATAGGTTTATGTTCGTGTTATCAAAGCGTGATATAGCCGTTTGTAGGAGGTTTACGTGTCATTTATATTTTACGGTCAAATTTCGGTCGCTTTATTTTGTGTACTTATGATCTTCCAACTGTATAGTTTGTACAATTTGTACAGAATATTACATTTATATTATTACTAGCTTTCGACCTCAAATACGTCCGCGTGGAATTTAAAAAAATTAATAAAAAGTAGCCTATGTGTTCTTCCAGACTATTCTCTACATCTATGCCATTTCGTCAAGATCCGATCAGCCGTTTAGGTTACAAACTCAAACAAACATTCATCCATCTAAACTTTTGCATTTATAACATTAGTAAGTAATAACTAGTAATATAGCTTTAGTATTCAAATTAATGAGTAAAATAAATGTAAGATGTAATTTCTTGTAATTAAATTATAACTCAGAGTTTTGTTACACGAGAGCTGATAAAAGAGGTTACGTTCAGTAAGGGAGCGGAAAAAGGCTACTCCAGGGAAATGTGCAAAGCGTTTGATAAACTTGATTACTTAGATTAGAATATATCGCTCAGAACTAATCATTTTTCTACGAAAAAAGAAATAGCATTGTTTTGTACTTTCAGTTACAAAAAAAACTACTATCAAGGTCTGGCAACAATCCAAACGAATCAGATTTTGTAGTTTTCTAACCCACATCGCATTCCTAAAATTCACAGATATTTAAAAAGAATATAAACTGAACCACATTTTTGTTAAATAGTATAACTAGCTTGCACCCTCCTGGATTTAAAAAAAAAAGTAAACTATGTTTTCTCCCAGACTATCCTCTGCACCTAAACCAAATATCATCGACATCTGTTCTAACAAACATCATCCATTTTGGCATTTATAATATAAGTAAGACGCAAGATTATAAGATTTAATCTTTATTTTATATGGTTGCATTTGTGTATATGTTGAATTAACTCAAAAACTACTTGGCAATTTTTAAAAATTGCTTCACCGTTAGAAAGGTAACTTATCTGTGGCTATATCTTTTTTTTT